GAATCCGCCTGCGAGACTGGTCATCGAATGCGGTTCGCCAGTCTGCTCCCATTTTTGTAAACTGAGTCTCAGCGTTTGTGTCGGTTGGTGCGCAAGAGGTGCCGGGCAGTTGTTCGGCGATCGCATGAACGGTGGGATGACTGCTGACTTCACTGCACTGCGTACTGACGAGAGGGCGAGACCGATGTGGCTGCTGTTGAGGCACGAATGTTACAGGTGCACACACAATACACTCCTCATCAGTGCATTTCCGCCAATGCGTAATTAGATTTTTTGACACCGTGCAGTAAGCCGTGTCACAATCCTTCCTCCTTCTACACTTTTCCATGTGGGCTAGCAAGTCGCAGCCTTCACTACAATTGGGGAAATCGCAAGGCTGGGATAACCTCCTGACTTGACGGCAGCAATTGGCGTGCAGCAACAGACGGAGGTGTTGTTGCTGAAACTGTAAGGAGTTACGATTGGTGGAATCAGCATTCGACATCAGCCTAGTGAGAAAGAGATGATCCATGTGAAAGCGTGTGAGAATATGCGGTGGCTGAGATTAAGAAACGAAGGCATGTTTAACGTGAGCTCGTCCACCCCGTTCTCACGCACAACGTGATGGTGTAACGAATTGCATCAGAGCGTGTCATAGCCGAAGACGTCAAAATGGGCCTTTACATAATTAACGAGCACAGGCATGCGCATAACCGACCTTCCGTTGGGTGTCTCCTATGAGCAGTGTTGGAGTAAACATTGCTACGAGCAGTATCAATTTAGCTTGAGAAGTCGTCATGGCCAGTGGGGTCAAGGTCAAGGTGGACATCTGGCTTGCGTAGAAGTCACCAATGTCCACACTGTGGGGCAAACGTGCAAGTTGCGCCTTCCGATGGTTGCCTTACAAAAGCCTAACGCTCGATTAGAGGTGAACATCAAACGGTTTATAAGTTCATTGTGTGTATATATGAATGCTCACTCTGTGGAGACTTGATGCGAGAGCGTGGGCGAGGTCTGCTATTATGGCACCAGTAAAGACATAGCTCACGAATTTTGGCATCGAAAAATCACCTCTGAAATCCCAAGACCAAGTCAATGTGCGCACTTCCGCATCCACGTGTTTGTTTTGTTAGCTAAGAGATTCCACTCCAACCGACCTAATATAACTTATGCATTTAAGATCGTTTCCAACACTTACCTTTAACAAAAATTGAAGTCAACTATGTCTTTACCATTAAGAACTTGAAATAGTAACACATTTGCTGTGTAATCACTGCACTTGCGTGCTATCTTCTTTCTTCTCCTAATGTTCTGGGTAGTTCGAGTGTGA